GCTCAGAAGGCATCTATCATTGATGAGGAGTTGCGGCAGCAGAGGATTTAGGATCTTGATGTTGCTGCCTCTAGCAGTGTGAGCACCAATGATGGTGCGGTGAGAGTTGATGGCAGCACTACTGAGGTTGCTTAGTTGATAGATGTGGGCACTACTATTGGTGACCCGAATGTTGATCCAGTGGGCTCCGGGAAACAGGACCCACCAGCTTGTTGATAGGTCTTCGATGCTATAAGCCACTGGTTTGCTTTAGCCAATCCTTTATTCTTTATTTTTTGTGCATTGGGGACAATTGCAGTATATTTTATTGGGGGTGGGGTAAATGGATTGTGAGTGATAGGCTGAAGTCTGAGTAACCCAACTCATAATCCTCTCTTTGGGTTTTCTCGCGTGTGTTATTTTACCCCAAGAGACTGTCTTTAGTTTATGTTGAACCGGCATGTGTTAGAATTGTCTGTGTAGAAGCATGATAAAGAATAAAGCATGATTGCTTAATTAAGAAAGAAAAATCATACCCCGCCAAAAGTTGTGATATGTGCTAAAATCTGTAGGCTAGAATGAGTTGAATGTGTTGGCTCTGAGTATGACACGATAAAGAACCAATTTGATCTCATGACTTAAGCTAAAACATGAACTGGGTAATCTGATAATCTAATAATGAAACAATGTGCCAAGAGTGAGTGAGGAAAGTTGATTGTTGAGAAAGTTTGTCCCAATCTAGAACTAGCCCCGTTGTTCTGCTAAGATTATCTAGGATAGAAGTTGGCTAGTGATCATAGGCCCTTGTTCATATTAGTCCACATAAGCCTAAAAGAATCCAACCAAATGAAATCAATGTTCCCTTTGATCCAAATATTCTAGCCTAAAATTGACCATTTCTTTTGATTCACCTAACTCACCTTTCATAAAGTAAGTGTTTTTGTTGCGGTCCCTCCTTGGACATATGCACCTTGACTTAGGCCAAAAGCCTAAGTTGAGGGTGGCTAATGCTAAAAGTGACCTCAACCTTGGCCCTGGTCCGACATCGGATATTGTGCACCTCAACTAATGCAAAATCCATCTGTTGAGGGTAGAAATGAAAGAGGAAACCGAAAGAAAAATGGGTATGAAAAAAGTTTTGTGTTCATAAGAGAAAAAGAGAAGATAAAAGAGGATGTGACTTTGTGCCAAAGAAGCAAAAATATGATGAATAAAAGTGCTAAAAAAAAATTGAAAGAAAAAGAAGAAAGTGAAAAATAAGAGCTACAATATCAAAACTCACATCCATGGTGAAAAGAGTCAAGGGAAAGAAGGTAAAAAGGAAGGATGTCAAAGAGAGGTCGAAAGAGGTAAAAAGCCAATGTAATGTCAAGGAGGGCAGAAAGTCCCTAAAAAGTACCAAAATTTACCACACTAGACCCTGAGCCTACGTTACAAGCTAAGAATGTCCTATAGTGATCCTAACAACTAGTTTGGAGAGTCTAAGCAGCGAAATAAGTGCAAGCCTATGGCATTGAGTACTAGCTGTACTTGAAGCTAATTCTGAGCGTGAGTGGTGAATGAATCTTTGTACTGGAAATCATATTTATTGTGTGAAAAAGAGATGTCGTTTGAAGTAACGGCACTAGTTAGATTGTCGGAGAGTTGGTACCTTCGTGAGAGTGAAAAAGTGTATGTTGTGTGTCTATTGGTCGATCTTTGTCATATCTTGATCCGCATGAGTTAGCTTGTTGAGTCTAAGAGAAAAGATTTGCACTTAAAAAGGCAGTCAGGATAGAAAGCCATGTGATTGCTTGAGTTTGAATGTCTGCTTCTATACAAGTGTCGTTTAGAGTCTTAGTGCGTCGATTGAGGACAAACAACGAATTTAAGTTAGGAGTATTGATATACCGTGAGTTTACGGTATTTTTAATACATTTGACTTAAGAGTTGTGTGTGTCTATGGCCATTTTGTATTAGAACTAATGTTTATTGTGCTATATTTGCAAGAAAATAGACTTGGACGATATCGATAGAGAGACAGCTGAAATTCTGCAGAAGTGGCCACCCAGGGAAGTGACCTACGGAGCGTAGATCCAGTCACAGTCCATCATTGGGCTGGCGTGGAATGATCTTCAGAGAAATCTGACCAAGTGTGGAACTATGGAAGAAAGTGACGGATCGTAGGTCAACCCACGGGCCGTCCTCCATAACCTTCGATTGATTCAGAGATTTTGAGTTCCAGTACCTTAGGAAAAGTTCTAAGTGTGGAGCCACAAAAGGCAATCCACGGACCGTAGGTCAACCTATGGTCCATACTACACGTGCGTCGTTTGTCTCTGAAATTTGAAGGTTCCAGCTTCTGAGAAAAAGTCTATGTCCTGAGCTATGGAAGAGACCTACAGACCGTAGGTCGATCCACGGTCGGTAGGTCAGTCTAGTCGATCGAAGCCACGTCCAGCTATTTATTTCCTTAATTCATTTCCTTTTTGTTTAGGACAATGTTTTTTCTAAATAGGGTATGTAAACTTCATACCCTAAATAGGGTTGTTAAAACCATGAGCAATTAACAAAGTATGAATAATAACTAAATACTTCTTGACTAGTGTTGATGCATGTGATTGTAATTCTTTCATTTAGAAGTATGTTTAACGGTGGACAACGTTAGAACGCACCTTGTTGCTACTTGCCGGACCAAGGAGGTAGTGAATAAGAAAAAAATTATCAACACAGATTTAGTGTGATACTATCTAATTGTCTAATGTCAATTGGTGCGAGGGTGAAAACTAAGCCATATATTGATGTGATGTCTAATTTGAGGTAAAGCTAAGGGTTAGTAAATTATACACACATTGTCGGACCAAGGTTCGGGGTGAAATTTCCTATTCGGAAAACCAAGCACTTAGGGATACATAACTTACCACTTGGTATGTGATACACTAGGAAAGGATTATTGTTATTAGGTTTACCGTGTTAAGAGCTTATGGGGAACACATACACCCTAGTTTCTCTCTCTCATTCATAACAACAAAGTTCAAATCTTGATCACTTGTTACTTGAAAATAATCAGTTATTTGTTTCACAACTCCCCCCCCCCCTTTACTTGTCTCAGAAATAACTTGACTAAACGGATATAATAATGAGTTAAGTTTAAGTCTAAAACATATTCCTCGTGGGATCGACCCCAACCTACCAGTTGGGTTCTTTATTTGACAATTATTGCTTATACATCTTTAAGGAGGTGTAATTTGAGCGTATTAATAGGATTTACCTCAATACCCTCACTTTAAACAATATGACCAAGAAAAGACACATACCCTAGCCAAAACTCACATTTGCTTAACTTCGCAAAGGTTTGTTGATCCTTGAGAATTTGCAACACAATCCTCAAATGATTTATATGATCAGCCTCACTTATCGAATAAATCAATATATCATCAATGAATACAATTACGAACATATCAAGGTATTGTGTAAACACTCTATTCATCAAATCCATAAATGTCATCGGAGGATTAGTTAAACAAAATGACATCACCAAAAAACTCAGAATGACCATACCGAGTTATGTAAGCCATTTTCGGAATATCATCTTCCTTCACCCTTGTCACGACCCAGGGGTACCCACTAGATGTAACAAGGCGTACAAGACCCCGAGAGGCCTCATACAAGCCCCTTAGAATATCCTATAATAGGATAATAGAAATGAGCAAAAATTTAAAACATTTTTCATAATATCAAAGTTTAATAAAACGAAGCAGAAGTCTATTACACTTGTTTCAAACCATCTAAAACATGAATATCTTTGGGACATATCCCATACAATAGTTCTCAACATAAAATGAAAGACATAAGGACATGGTGGTAAAACCCTCGAATGCTATGAGGACTAACCAAAACATCTCTTTTTGCTCTACTATGAACCTAGACATGAGGATTGAAGTCAATATCATCGGACCCTACATTTTATAAGAATATCGGCAAAAGTATGCGTTAGTACAAACATGTACTAAATATGATGGCTAGCATAAATCATCAATATAAGCATAACTTAAGCATTAGTCAACATAAGACGTACTCTATAAGCATAAGAGATAACAACATAAGTCATAAGCATAGTCAATGGACATCAGTCATCAGAATATATGGAATAGTCCATAAAGTAACCTCAAGTCATACTTAACCAAGACATGCATAATCTTTCACTAGTCTTACTCATCAATGTAGGCAACCTTAAGCCCTCATTTAAACACATCATCTATAATTATCATCTTTGACTTACCTTTTATAGACATGGGGATTAACTTCTAGCCATACGTGTCATGGAAGACCATTCTAGCAACAATACAAACATTGCATTCATCATGACATAATTCACATTAATCTTGAATTACTTTGAAGAAATAGGGACTCACCTCTCTATGTCTATTATAAGGCTAATGGGTATTCACCTCTTGCCTTACTTGTATAGTCCTAGGTATTCACCTCTATGACCATTTTACGAAATCATAGGTATTCGCCTCCATGCCCCACCATTATATGATATAGGTATTCACCTCCACAACATTTACTACACCATTTTAGGCCTAAGACAACACTAAATCTGGACAACACTTGTAAAGTGTTGCCTAAAACATTTTTGGGTACACTTTTGAAGCGTAGCCTTAGTTGTTAGCTTTTGGCCACAACAATATTGGCAACACTTGCAAAGTGTGCTCTTTAGTGGTATAGACTACACTTTTTAAGCGTTGTGATATCATGATATAATTAGCAACATTTATTTACACATATGACTACACTATTAAAGTGTTCTATTTTTATAAATATAAAAACAACATTTAACAAGTGTTGCCTTGTAGTTTTCCTAAAATTTTCTCAAAAATATTATATTCCCTCCAACATATTTAACTCTCCCTCCAATTTCTAATTTTCCAAAAAAAAGAACTTCTTTAAAAATCAACACACAATTTAACTTTAAAAATAAAAATGAAAAGAAAAATAAAAAAACTTTCAGTACAAATAAATCTAATCCACAAGCCTCATTGTTACTTTGCCCAAATCGCTACTCTTTGAAATAAAACCCTAAATCCTACTGCCTCCTCTTCTCATTTCCACCGAAAAATTCACCATTGTCACTCCTTCGTCTGAGATAGGTGGTGATTTTTATAATCCTTCTTTGCGTTCATTCGAATAACTGGAGAAAAAGTTCGAAGAGAACTGACATCGTTTGTCGGAATCCAAATCTATACGAGAGCAGATAAAAGATCTGGCAACAGAGATAAATTTAGTCACTTTTATCATACAGGTCAGTTGTCTTCTTGTTCATCAGTATCGCCATGTTGCTGGTATTCAAAAAATATAATTTTTATGAGTATCTCTTCATTTTTTACATTTTTGAACGTTTGATGCTATTTTAGCTCTAAGTAATCTTTATATTTTAAGAATTTCAATTTTGGTATGTTACGCATGGTATAAACTCGGTGTGCATTTAAATTGGTCAGGTGTTCTTGAGTTGTGCTTTAGATTGAGTTTTGAAATGTTTGTGCTTCATTTTGTTGGCTTCTAAATTATTTGTGCTTAGTATGAGTAAGAATGTATTAGGAGTTTATCTGAAACTGTGTAAATGTATTAGGAATTTTCTATTTTCACATTGATTAAGTCATGTTGTTTGTGAGTTGAGGGTGTGAGGCACCTCTCATTTGAATGATTTTATCAACTGCCCAGTGAATAACACAATTGACTGCTCAAGAGTTCAAAGCATCTGTGTGCCTCTTCAGTATATTAGCAAGATGAGGCATAGCTCCAGCATCAACAATAAGTTTTTGTCAAATATAAATGAAGGAAGAATTACGCTGAAGTAACTAATTAAAGGAATAGATGAAATTGTTCTAGATTATTTTTTATGTGATTTGTATCTACAATATACTTTGTCCTAGATACAACGTTGCAAAAATGTAGTTTGTTACTGATCATGTAATTGTTTTGTTTCTTTTCTCCCAGATTTAGCATTTTAATTTACCGAAAGAGTCTAATCTGGAGTACATATAGAAATAGATTTACAGTTTCGGTAAATAAATTTCATTGTAGTTAGTTGTTGTGAGATCTTATTAGCATACATATGAAAGACAACCACTAAGAGTTATGTTTCCCATAAATACCAATTACTTTTTGTTGCCCAAGATCCTATTGTTCGGTGTAAGAGTAGTTACTTGTCTAGTGTTGCAACAACCTATAGTTTACATAGCAGAAAGTGCTATAATCTCTGGAATAACAGGTACCTCATTTGATGGAGCAGAGAACACCGCAGCTATTGCATCTGGGATAAGCTTAATCAATGTTGCAGCTGGTTCATCGATTCTCCTTCGAGTAGGGAAAGACTCACCTCCTCCGATACAAATAGAGCAGTACTCATGATACAAATGGTTCTTTGCACGGATACTATGTTATTTATGGCGCAAAGAGAGCAGCTGAAGCTATATGTCCTGCCGTAGTCTCTTGCGCTGATATTTTTGTGTTTGCTGCAAGAGATGCAATTTTATTAGTAAGTACATATCCCCTGCTAAGAAATTATTGTACTACAAGTGTAGATATATATAAATGTTAACAAAGTCCAAAATCAATTGAAGATGTTAGTACTAAAGTGTAGACTATAACAATATTGTAACAGATCATCTCACAAGTGATATTTGTCTGTTATAGGCCTAGTCCAACATGTCTTTAAAATGTGTCTTTAGGATGTATTTCTTTATATACTCAACATCTCTCTAGTGTTCTATGATGTGGATTTGCCGAGAGTGTCACAAATACTATATTCTAAAATCTTATTCCTAGTTGTTTTTTCAGTTAGGCGGACCTTACTGGAACGTGCCTAAAGGAAGAAAAGACGGATGAATATCAAGAGCTAGTGAAACAACACTGCTTCCAAAGCCTACATTCAACATTTCTCAACTCCAACAAAGCTTCAATCAAAGAGGTCTCTCACTAGACGACTTAGTGGCTCTCTTAGGTCAGCATAACAAATGCTCCAAAAAATTTCACGAGTTAATTCCTTAAATGGTCAGTCAACTTACATCTGATACGACTATACATTTTCTTTGTCTTGCAGGTGCACACACTCTAGGATTTACCTATTTCTTATCATTTATGAACTGTATATACAACTTCAACGCCACACATGACATCCATCCTACACTACGCCCATCATTTGCAGCAAGCTTGAAGGGCATATGTCCACTCAAAAACAGGGCAAAAAACACAGGAAAAACAATGATCCTTCACCAACAACATTTGATAATACTCATTACAGGCTAATTCACAAAAAGAAAATGGATCATTCATTGCTGACTACACAAAAAATGAAAAGTCAGGCGGACCTTACTGGAACGTGCCTAAAGGAAGAAAAGACGGACGAACATCAAGGGATGATTAGTGGTGTGTTTTATTCAGACATGTTATTATCATATTGCAGAGAGTGTGACTCCACTGTCTTGTTTCAGGTATGTCTTATCCTCCTCCTCGTCCTCCTTCATCTTTTTCTTCTATTGCGAGTGCGGGTGTAAGGAGATGTCAGTTTTTTTTTCAATTCTTGTTACAGTCACTCTGGACAGTTTTCTAAGAGGGGATGACATTTATTTTTCAGTTCTTGGTCGTCGTCGCTGAATTCTTTTAATTTTTCCCAGTTCTTGGTTGCAGTAGTAAGATAATTTAGTTATTGGACTAATTATATCACTTTAGTTGAACTATTTTTGTGGTGTTGGTTCTGTACATAGGTTGGGTCTTACAAGAGGGTACCAGTGTAATCAAAGCAAAAAGTTAATTGCTTTGGCTTATATTTGGGCTATATATATGTGTAGAAGTTAATTATGGACTATATGGTAAAGAAAAAGAGGCATTGTTATCATAAATAGGGGCATATTATGTTCACCAAATTCTGTTGAGGCTTCCAATTAAGTCTCTCCATTGTTTCAAGTTAAGAGTCATTCAAAATGATGAAAATATCTTGATATTTTGTGGAATCTGCTATTTTCTGAGACCTCGTATTTCTATTGAATGTTTAATATAGAGTGCTTCATGTATCATATATATTCTCTGTTAGATGTATTTCGTTCTTGTTGTGCCTTCATTATTCCAGGTTAATGGAACAAAGAAAGAATGAATGTTGCCAAGTTTAAATAATGTCGAACTTTTTTATTAGATAAGTTGGTTTGGTTTGGTCAGGTTAAGCTAGCTAGTTTGAGATTAGAGCAACATATTTCTTTTATTGAAACACAATTTTAGTTTTTGGTAGTGTTACTTACAATCTTAGCTTTGGGAAGTCTTAATTTTTGTACTTGGTTTGTACTATGCTCCATTTCATATGGTATGTGAGAATTGACTCGTAAGAAGTGATTTTTATAATGAGGAATCAGAAGATGAAAATAATGAACATAGTTTCTTTCTAATGTTTGATTTGTTGAACATGGTTTGTTTCTGATTTTGAATTTTATTTTGAATGTGTAGGAAAGTGTTGGCAATCAAATTTGAATGAAGGTCGGAAATCAATTCAATGAATTGAGGCAGATGATGAAGAGTTTTTGAACTATTGTAGAAGTTTTATTATATTATATTTGGTTTTGTGAAATTTATTGCTAGTACATAGAGTATTCCTTTATAAGTTTTTGTAGTACAAGACATTGTTTTTTGATGTTTATTGCAAATCTATACATTTGAATTATTTATTAGCTAATTTAATGCTTATTTATAATAAAACAATATTGTAGCTTTTAAAGTAAAAATTGTGGCATCTAAATATGTTTATAGCCAAAATGATATTACCACACTTAAAAGTGTAGCCATAGGACTGTAAATTGTGGTATGCACATGGGCAAGGACTACACTTAAAAGTGTTGTCATACATTATATAGAAAAGGCAACACTTTAAAATTGTTGTCATACATTAGATAGAAAAGGCAACACTTACAAATCGTGGGCAATAGGGAAGCTAAGGCCACGCTTAAAAGTGTAGTTGTATGAGATAAAAATGTTGCTATTTAAGGTACATAAAAGCGTTGCCATTTTGCCTTTTAGGCTACGCTTTTAAGTGTAGCTGATAAGGCAACACTTGAAAAGTGTTGCCTAAACTCTAAGGTAACGTTGCTTTTGGGCACCCCTGGAAAAGTGTTGCTTAAAGTCCAAAAGTGTAGCCTTTTATCAAAGGCCACACTTTTTGCTAGTTTAGGCTACACTTTACTGGGGTGGCCGTAGGCATAAAATGGTGTAGTGATTTTACAAGGATCATAGGTATTCGCCTCCATTTCCAACTTGATATGATATAGGTGTTAGCCTCCACATCATTTTATAAGGATCGTAGGTATTCGCCTGCATGATCAACTATAAAGGCTAATGGATAATCACCTCTTGCCTTGCGTTATGAGTTGTAGATTAAGGGTAGTCACCTCACACTCCTAATCACATGACATGGGTAATCACCTCATGTTTATCATCTCTAGTTTACTAATTTAGGAATATGGGAACTCACCACACATCCTTCTCATATGAAGGTCTTGGGGAATCACCTCAAGCCTCATGTCATTTTATAGTCAGTTTAGTTACTCATGAAAGGGTTCCCTTGGCTTACCGATTCAAGGTACATCATTAACTTAACTCGTTATACCATGCACGAGCAACCATCACCATCCATGATCTATTTATGATTGCTCTTTAGCCTTTAATTCAATTAGGTGAGAAAGCCTTTTAACCTAGCATCATTCTATGTGCGAAAACCTTTCACACCATGTTTATTATGTGTTCATGAGAATAGCCTTTCAATCAACACAACAACAATATCATAATAAACAACACTTAACTCTCAATGTGTTCTTAAAGCATTTACATAGATTCTATAAGAATATGCATAATATCATACATTCATAATATAGATCAATATGGTTAACTCCTTCCACAACAATCCTATCTACAAATCAACATTCTTCATATAACTCTACACTCAAAGCCCTAGGCATCATAATTCATCATTTTAGATTTAGTCTAAAAACCCTATTAGTTATCATTCATGATACATGCCTTAGTCTCAAGACAATTCTAATCATCATAGCCTACAACTCATAATTCATCTTATATACTTTATTTCATTCAATTCAAATTCATATACTTTACTCTTAAGTAAGTTCATGTATATATGCTTCAATATCAAGCAACGTAATCATACTTCATCATATAGCCTCAATCTCAAGCACTACATGTCATTATTCATCATGCATACCTTAATCACAATCAATTCATGTCTATATATTCTTAAATCTCAAGATATCTACAATGTATTTAATCAATTCTAGAAGATTACATATAAATCTTCAATTTCCCCTTTCATGGCTTAAAACCCATTTACATCAATTTTGTTATTAGAGACATGGGTTAGGCACTGGTACATGTAAATTTAGCCTAAAACACATGTAATCCTATTAATTAATCATAATCGACTCAATTGGATCAATACCCATAACATTAGAAGAAACCCTGACTAAAATTGGAGAATTGTTCTTCTAAATTAGGGGGAAAATGGGGGCTCCATGGATGAAAAAGTCATCATACCTCGATCAAAACGTCCACAAATGCTTGAGGAGTGGAGACTTGATTTTGACCGTATCTCCACCTTTTTTCTTTTTCTTCATGTTCGAGAGAGAGAAATATTTGAGAGGATGAACTTTGGGATTCTTTTGGGGTTTTGGAAAGAATGTCATGAATGGTGAGTTTAAAAGGTAAAAATCACTTATATAGGGGTCCTAAGTGTACATAAAATGACCTCACCTTATTTCAAATTAAACCGAAATTTCCCAAATGGTTCCTCACTTGGCTGCCTACAGCCCAGGCCTCACGATCCATTGTCTTCACCATTGACCGTGGTCCTGCTAGTGGTCCTTTTACCAGTAGCTAGGCCACCTTGCATTGGCATCCAAGAAATGAAGGCATCACCACGAGCATTCCCACGAGTCGTGGTCTTCACCACTAGCCGTGAAGTAGCTCATAAAGGTGAGACAACTTTGGGCAGTCCATGGGGAGCTAATCCTAGCCACCATGGATCATACCAAGGGTCGTCGTCCCTACCAATGGCCGTGGTGATGGTGTTTAAGATGGGGGCAGTGCTTGGGGAAGGTTGGACAGCCTTGGCCCCTTTCCCTTGCCTCATGCCCTCTTGTCCTTGGCCCTTGCTCGATGTCCTTGGCTTGAACCCTCACACTAAACTCTAGATTAGTCTACTAGTTTAGAGAGTGTTACAACCCTCAATTGGTGATAACCCGATCTAAGATCAATCATGGAAAAGTAACTCACTCCTTGGAGTTGGTCAAACAAATCATCTATCCTTGGAAAATGATACTTATTCTTAATGGTTACCCTGTTGAATTGCCGATAGTCAATACGCATACGAAGTGAACCATCTTTCTTCTTTACAAACAAAATAGGAGCACCCCATGAAGAGATACTCGGTCGGATGAAAATCTTATCCAACAAATCTTTCAACTACTCTTTTAATTCCTTAAATTCTATCGAACCCATTTGATAAGGAGGAAGAGAAATCGGATTTGTATTTGGAAGAAGGCCAGTATTGACATCTATTTTCCTTTCTGGAGGAATAGCGGGTAGATCATCTGGGAACACTTCCGGAAAGTCATTAACAACGGGGACTGACTCAAGAGTAGGGGTTTTGAAATTCATATCATTCACCCTAGCCACATGGTACATTCAACCTTTAGAAATCATCCTACTATCTTTAAGAAAAGACATAAACTGACTCTTAGGCATAAAATTTCAGCTTTTCAACTCTAGGATAGACTCATCATGAAATTGAAACTTAACTACACGGGTTTTACAATCAATAGAAGAATAACAAGAGTGCAGCCAATCCATACCAAGGATAACATCAAAATCTAGCATATCAAACTCTACCAAATCAACAGGAGTAACTCTATGGGACAAGGATACGGGACACTTTCTATAGACCCTCTTAGCCACAATAGAATCACCAACATGAGTAGAGAAAGAAAAAAGATATAGCAACACATCAGAAAGTACATCAAACCTCATAGCCACATATGGCGTCACATAAGACCAGTTAGCACTGAGATCAATTAAAGAATAAACATTAAGTTGAAAGACTTTATACATATTGGTAACCACATCGGGAGAACCCTCTTGTTCACCACGAGTCTGAAGTGCATAGAACCTCTTTTGCTTGGGATCATTAGAACCCGTACAACTTGGACCGGATGAAGGATAGGGTTGAGCACTACGATGACCATCTACCTCATTCTTAACAACTAAAGGACAATCTCTTATCTTGTGGTCCATCTTACAACAACCAAAACATGCAGTGGAACCTCCTAGACATTTTCCATATTGCTTTCTTCCACACTTTACACAATTTGGCAATGAAGCCCCATTACCACCTCCTTGAGGTTTAGGGTTAGACACCCTTTCTTTGTTGAACTTAGGAGCATTGGAGGAACCTTTCCTGGAAAATCATTGTAGAAATCTAGAATGACCATGTCCATCGAACATTGCATAAGAGAAATTACCATCACTAGTTCTAGCCCTTTTTGTCTCCTTAGACCTCTCCTTATGTTTCTCCTCTTCAATTTGTTGGGCATAAACGATGAGATGAGAATTGTCAATGTCGTGGACCAGCATAGTTGTATGATATTTTTTCACCACCAATTCGGACAAACCCAAAACGAACTTGCTTATACTTGCCCTAGAGTCAACAACTATAGTAGGAGCGTACCTTGACAATTGAGTGAACCTCAAAACATCTTTTTTCACACTCACGTTCCCTTGTCGGAGATTTATTAACTCAAGCACTTATGCCACCCTCATCTCATGGGGAAAGAACCTAGCATGGAAAGAAGACTTGAACCTTTCCCATTCTAGGAGCCCGCCTCTACCTGTCTTGCTTCCTTCCATTCATTCAACAATATTTTAGCCACACCCTTAATTTGATAAATAGTCAATTCCACCTTCTCCACTGGAGTAACTCCCATAATAGCAACACGTTGTAGACCTCATCAATGAACTCTTGAATATCTTCCTCAACCCTAGAACCTTAGAATTCCAGAGGTTTCATCCTATTGAAATCCCTCACTCTAGATGTTGCAGTACCTATATTTGGGTTCACAGGGACCACAATATCCCTATTGTCTTGGGCCATCAGGGCTTCAGCTAAACCTTTAAAAGTAGTTCTAAAATTTGCATTTGTTACTTGCTCAGCCAAAGGGTCAACCAAAGCTTAAGGAGCTTGAGGAGGATCTTCTTGATTTTCATTGGCTTCCTCATTCCTTCTAGCAAAAGCTCTTCGAGTAGTCATATCACGTAGACCATCGGATAAGGATTAGGAGAGAGACCTTATAGAGTCAAACTCTATCGCATGACTTGGAGTAATAAAGAAGTGAAGTTTCCTAAACATCTTATAACCTCTTATTCATAAATGTGGCACATTTCATACTTATGAACAAGATTATACTTGACGTGGTTTTGAGACATCCTAGAACCATTCTAAAAGTTGTCCTTTGATTACCAAGTTTGTTATGACCC